CTAGATTGGGTTGTCCTTCAGCCATCAGATTTGCTTGGCCTCCGGATCCTCCGGCCATCTTGGTCTTGGAGCTTGTGCCGCTCGCCATATTTTGATTCGGCGAATTTACTGAAGTGAAGTTGCGAAGAATCCCTGAACAGCTCTCATACCATGTTACAATCCCAAGTGGGACTTAGCGAAGGATCGCTAAGGGTCGATCGCGGAGTAGTTGCAGCGGAAGTGTGAATCTCAGGTCAGAGTGAATGTAAAATGACTGAGTTGATGATATCATGCATACATCGAGTTTATATAAGAGTACATGGGAATACGAAAGGACCTAGACTAGCCATGTACTCTAAGGGGTACATTCCCTTATTGCGACTGAATTTCAAAAACCGTGCGGCGCGGGAACCCGTTCAAAAACCGTTCCCGCTCTTTTCACTGTAAATGTTTCTGCCTGCATCGGTCTTGATCTGACGGTTGGTGCGTTGTTTCGGCTCTTCTGACTCCTCAGCTTCGTACTCGGTAGAGTCGGCTCCTGCAGCATACAGGAATGCCTTCTCATAAAACTTCGCATCGTAACAGTCTCGACTAATCACGACGCAGTGTACGTGTTGATGGGGATAGTGGGTTTTTGGAGATTTCGTCTAGATACGTTCATGCCGCATGAGTTGACATTTGGCACCGCGTGTGATTGATGGAATGTGTCACAATTAGCTGGCGACAGTGTGAGAATAGGAACGTGAATGTGTGAGTACAAGTACCAACCCTAATTGGGTTGTACCCCCTATGGGATACCCCACTATAGCCTACACAAAAGCATAAGCTATAAGTTCTGACACACCCCCATAGGAAAAGTGGGGGAGAACAAGGGGTCACAAGACCAGTCAAGCAAAGCAAAGCAAAGCTCAGGGTGGATCACAAAGTCACCACACAGTCCGAGCACAAGGTCAAGGCCACAAGGCCAGTTCACATGCAAGACGAGACATATATCTATAAGGCTAAACAAGCAAGAGCAGGTATATATATATATATATATATATGCAAGAGTACAAGCAAGGTCAAGAGGTGAGCAAGTGAAGTAGGACAGGTACAAGTCCCAGCTGAGTGTAGAAGCGCTGATGATCACAAGGCGGAAGTGCCTTCATGAAAACATCAGCAGTGTTGGCCTCAGAGGCCACGTACGCAAGTCGCAACTGACCACGCTGCTGCAGCTCACGAGCAAGGAAGTAACGGAGAGCAATGTGCTTCGTTCTTTGCTCCAAGCGCTGCTCTCGACACAAGGCCAGCATGGCCTTGTTGTCTACGTACAGCACTGGAGGAGAACGAGGCACCTCTCCAAGGTCAGTCAGCAGGTAGGTGAGCCAGCGAAGCTCCTGTGCAGCCATGGCCCCGGCGTAGATCTCAGCCTCACAACTGGAGCCGAGAACAGAATACGAGCGAGTAGCCCGCCAAGAGACAAAGCCAGAACCAAGACTGAAGGTGTACCCCTGCGACGACCGCTGCGTGGCCTGGTCGTCAGCCCAAGAAGCATCCGCGTGACCAGTGAGGACCACTGGACTCCGCCCTCCAAGCACTAGCCCCATGCCCGACGTACTGCACAAGTAGCGCAACACCCTCTTCGCTGCAGCCATGTGCTCTGGTTGGTGTCTCCCAGGAGCAACATAGCGTGCAAGAATGCTAAGAGGGTATGCAAGGTCAGGTCGTGTGCAGGTCATCAGGTACATGAGGCAGCCAACAAGCTCCGGGTACGGGCCACTCGACTCTACGGACTCATCCGAAGGCAGAGCTGAGAGCGAGTGGCGAGTAGCCAGAGGAGTGGCCTGAGGCGAGGAGTACGTGAAGCCGAAGCGCTGAAGGACCTGCTGCACCATGTGTGACTGAGTCAAGGTGATGGTGCGGCGTGCTCTGTCCCGAGTGATCTGCAAGCCAAGGTAGCTGCGCAGTTCACCGAGGTCTGTGCACGTGTGTCTCTTCTGCAGCTCGGACTTCACGTAGGCGAGTCCAGTAGTGTCAGCAGTGGCAAAGACCAAGTCGTCGACGTACACGAGGATGTAGAACGGCGGCAGAGAGGTGTCGGTGCGCAGAAACAACGACGGGTCAGCAGTAGACGGAGCAAACCCAAGAGCCGCAAGCGTAGTCCTCACTGTGTTGTGCCACTCACGCGGTGCCTGGCGGAGACCGTAGACTGGCCATCGGAGGCTCCACTAGGTGCCAGGAGGGAAAGTCCCAGTGAAGCCAGGTGGACGGCGCAGCCAGATCTCCTCGTGCAGGCTACCCTGCAAGAAAGCAGTGCTGAAGTCAAGAGAGTGAAGCTCGTAGTCGCGCTGAGCGGCTATGTGTAGCAGCACCCGAAGAGTGGTCATCTTCGGGGTGGGAGAGAAGGTCTGAAAGTAGTCAACTCTCTGCCGCTGATTGAAGCCACGAGCGACGTACCGCGCCTTGAAGACAAGTGGAGAGCCCGGCGGCCGCTTCACCCTGAAGATCCACATGCCACTGACGATGTTCGCCCCAGGAGGGGGAACCGCGTCAACGTAGGTGCCTGTGGACTTCCAGGAAGCCATCTCTGCATCTATAGCTGCCTGCCACTGAGAGGAGTAGGGACCCTCTACGGCCTCCGCGTAAGAACGCGGAGTCGGGATGTCTAGTGCATTCGGGTCTCCCTCAGGGGCAAGCACTATAGACGCGAGATGAGGTGAAGCAGCAGCCAGACACTGGAACTCCTCCTGCTTGTCCTCAAGGACGTCCATGCCAAGAGCACACTCACCCCCGACGGACGGAGGACAGACAGACGCAGACTCAGCAACAAGACTAGCAGCGTAGTCTAGACGACAGCGAGCAGCAAAGTCGACGAGCTCAGCGACAAGAGCAGACGCAGTAGTGGACTCAAAAGAGGGGTCAGTGACAACAGTAGAAAGAAAACGCATGACAGTAGGACTGGCAGCACGAAGAGAGTCCGACTCCGGGTCGGCAAGTGCAGGAAGAGAGGACTCAGGAGGAGAAGGCAAAGGGGCACGCAGAGGAGCAGTGGACGGACGCAGAGACATCCGGTGCGTGCCAGGGACAGGAGGAGGACGCTGACGCGAACCGCGACCACTAGCGCGAGCAGCACGAACAGGCGACGCGGGACGAGACGCAGGCTCACGACGCTCAGCGAGACCTCCAGTAGGACCAGTGTAAGGAGAGGGAGCAGGCAGTGGGGAGGCCGGCTCGAACAGTGACTGCGACTGGACAGACGGCGGACACTCGACAGAAGGAGGAAGACCAAGAACCTGCTGCAGGAGCGGAACGAAGTACGGCCGAGGCCGCGCAGGGACTCCAGGCACAGCAGAGACAGCACCAGAACCCTCAGCAGCAGCACCAGTGCCAACAGCACCTCCAGCGGCAGGACCACCTCCAGGACAGACAGCAGCAGTCTCAGCACCAACACCCTCAGCAGCTCCAGCTCCAGTAGGACCCGAAGACCCAGCAGCTCCAGGACCGGCGGCACTAGCACCCTCAGCGGCCGAAGAAGCTCCAGCTCCAGCAGTACGCCTCCAGCGGCGAGCAAACCACTCGCGCAGCTCCTGTGGAGAGAGGGGCTCCCGCCAAGACGGAACACCCGGAGAAACTCCAGGCCCAGCACCGCTAGACGCCACAAGGGGAGGTCTAGTGGCCGTAGGCTCCGCACCTCCTGGCTTAGCAGCTCCAGACGCAGCACCTCCAGGCTCAACACTCTCCGGCGCAGCACCCCCAGACTCAGCAACCTCAGGCTCGTCACCCCCAGGCTCAGCACCCACGCGCACAGCACCCCCAGGCTCAGCAACCCCAGGCTCGTCACCCCCAGGCTCAGCACCCACGCGCACAGCACCCCCAGAGTCAGCACCCCCAGGCTCAGCACCCACAGCAGGTCTAGAGTCACCATCAACCTCGACCGGCTCGATGGCGTCTACCTGGGACACACCTGAAGGGGCAGGAACCTGAGGGGGGGAGGGGGTCTACCGGGGGGGGACCTGGCACAAGGAAGTCCGGTGGCGGGGGGAGGGAAGGAGTGCGGTAGGGGAAGAGGCGGTAGAAGGGGACTGACTCGTCGAACGTGACGTCCTGGGAGGACAGAACACGACGAGAGGAGGGGTGGTAGAACTGCCACCTTGGAGCGTCAGGGGGGAAGCCAAGGAAGACACAGGGAGAAGCACGGGGGGACAGCTTGTCCGCAGACAAGTCGCGGACAAACGCCCGAGATCCCCAGACACGGAACGCAGACGCATCGCCGACCTTCCCAGTCCACAGGAGGGCCGGGGAGGTACGGACCTTCCCGGGCCGGGAAACCCCGGGGTGAAGGTTGATCTGATGCGCCGCGTACCTCACCGCAAACGGCCACAGAAAATGGGGGGCAGCCGCATGCATCATGGACGTACGGGCGACGTCCATGACCATGCCAATGCGGCGCTCAGCAATCCCATTTTGCTGTGGAGAGTCCGGAAGCGTAAAGGTCTGGCGGATGCCCTGTGCACGACAGTAGGCTCGCAGAAGGCCAGAGGAAAACTCTCCGCCTCGGTCAGAGTGCAGACGCGGAACAGGAAAGTCCGAGCCGAAGCTCCTCCTGAGCTGGAGACGAGCTGCACGGATCCAGTCGATCAACACCTCAGTGACATCACCCTTGCTGCGCAAGGGGAAGACTGTGGTGAAACGCGAGTAGTCGTCAACCACCAGCAGAAAGTAGCGCTCGTGACCCTGTCCACGGACGCGGGCCGGGCCCCACAGGTCCATGTGAAGCGTCTGCAGAGGAGCCTCTGTCGGAGGAAACTGTGAGGAGTGGGGGGCAGCCCGGAGGCGCCCCTCGACACAAGGGACACTGGAAGGTCCTGGTCCCAAAGGAAGGGGAGGGAGAGACCGGGGAAGACCAGAGACAAGGACACGGAAAGCCATGTCCCTGAGACGGGGCAAGGAGGGGTGGCCAAGACGGTGGTGCCACAGGAGGGTCTCGTGAGACAGGAGGCGACACGAGCAGGGGGCAGACTCAGGACCAGACCTGGACGCAGCTACCTGGCCAGACACAGGGACAGGAGGAGACTCAGTGGTCAGGGTGTAGAGGCTCGACCCCGGCCGACGGGAGAACGTGGCTAGGTGCCGACCTGTGCGCGCGTCCGTGCAGTGGGTCATCCGCTGACTCGCAGGAGTAAACCGGTGAACCCCCGCATCCTGTAGGGCAGCACCACTCACCAAGTTCGTCGAGAACGAGGGGAGGTACAGGCCTGACAGGGCGCCCGAGGGGGCCGCTGGACACGGTAGAACAGTGGAGAAGTGAGAGAGGACAGGACCCCCAGAGGGGTCAGCCAGGGAGACCGCAACCGGCCGGCCAAGCGGCGTGAGTGTGGTGCGGTCCCGAAAGAAGGAGCGAGAAGCCCCAGAGTCAAGTGTTAAGGTGAGGGAGGCCGAAGCCGACGCGGGACCTGAGAGCGCAGCCTCACCAGTACCTGAGAGCGCAGCCTCACCAGCACCTGAGAGGGCAGCAGTGTCACATGCACCTAGCGCAGCCGTACCAATGCCCGGGTCAGGCGGGAAACACCGGTAACAGTCACCCTCATCACTAATAGACACAGCATACATGGCAGCAAGGATAGCATCAAAGTCTAGCTCAAAGATCGCTACACCGGCTCTAGAAAGGTCTCCCCAGCGGGGGATCTCAGAGGCGTCAGGGAACTGCTGACGCCAAGCGTCCGTCAGGCGGCCAAAGCAGCGCCGGGTGGCGTGGGCACCCCCACATTGCTCACCCGCGCGCTCGCCACTGCGAAGAACGTAGGTGCACGGGCCAAAACCTCCACCACGCTGACTCTGCGCGTACCACTCACGGAGCTGCTGAGGCGGGGGGATGTCCCGAGCACGCTGCTGCTGCTGCTGCTGCTGCCGCGGACCACCACCAGAGCCGCTCCGCTGCGGGGCACTACCCCGACCAGCTCCACCTCCCCCGCCACCACCTCCTCCACCTCCGCCACCACCACCGCCTCCGCTCCCACCGCCTCCGCCGCCACCGCCTCCGCCGCCGCTGCCGCCGCCACCACCACTACTCCCGCCACCACTCCCACCGCCACCCCCACTTCCTCCGCCGCCTCCACCGCCACCCCCACCGCCCCCGCCAGCTCCACCCGCGCCCTTGCCCCCCTTGCCCTTGCCAGGGCGGCGTCTCCCGCAAGGGGCAGACGCCGCGCCAACCGACTCAAGACCAAGCAGGTCGGCAGCAGCAGCAGAGGCAACAGAGGGCAGCAGGGGGGAAGGAGAACACCCCTCAAAGATGGGGGTGCGCGGGTCTCCACGAGAGGCTCCTACAGCGACTATACTCTTCTCCGTCGCTAGGAGGGCCTTCTCGAGGTCGACAGTGAGGGTGGTGGGACAGACTGAGAGGAAGTGGTCCCTGACTACGCGAAGGGAGTCAGGGAGACGAGTGACTATGTAATAGAGAGCGATGTACATGGGGGGGGGGGGTTCTTGGCGCAAAACTCAGCAGGAAGGGCGGCGCGGTAGCGAGTGTCACTAGTGCGAAGGTGCGTAATGAGATCAGCGACAGTAGGAAAGGCAGTGAGATCGGGAAAGAGGTACGGTAGCATGAGACGGCTCAGTGCAGCAGTGGCAGGGGAAGAGTAGCGCGCAACTACAGCGTCGTACAAGGTCTGAGCACTCTTGTACTGACTAAAGTGCGCGCGCTCAGTGGTGGGCAAGTGGGGACGCACAGCCAGACGTGCAGCAGCATCGCGGGTGGCCCACTGAGAGCGAACAGTGGGGTTAGCATCAGCAGCAGGAGCAGGAGAGGCGCCAGAGGTGAGGTCAAAGAGAGAAAGACCGTCCGCCCTATCGCACTGTAAAAACAACTGCAGGTCGTCGACCCAGACCTCAAAGTCAATGGCTCTGCCCTCAGCGTCAAAAGCTAGGACACTGGGGGTAGCCATGACGACAGACTAGCAGTGCAAGCAGTGGAGAAGGGCACGCAGTAGCAGTAGGGCAGTGCCGTGCTCACCAGACAGGGCAGGTCGGGCGGCCTGGTAGCAGGGCGACTCGGCGGCTCCTGGACGGTACGGCTGCTGCGGGGCGGCTCGGCTGCTGCTGGGCGGCTCGGCGGCTCCTGGGCGGCTCGGCTGCTCCCGGGCGGCTCGGCTGCTGCTGGGCGGCTGGGCGGCTCTGGGCAGCTCGGCTGCTCCCGGGCGGCTCGGCTGCTGCTGGGCGGCTCGGCTGCTGCTGGGCGGCTCGGCTGATGCTGGGCGGCTCGGCTGCTGCTGGGCGGCTCGGCGGCTGCTGGGCGGCCCGGCCGGTGCTAGGGCCGCGTAGGTAGGGCGGCTGGGCCGCGAAGGTAGGGCGGCGGGTGGGCCGCATGTAGGGCGGCGTACGGCCGCAGGTAGGGCGGCGGGTGAGCCGCAGGTAGGGCGGCGGGACGGCCGCAGGTAGGGCGGCGGACGGCCGCAGGTAGGGCGGCTGGTGGGCCGCAGGTAGGGCGGCGGGACGACCGCAGGTAGGGCGGCGGACGGCCGCAGGTAGGGCGGCTGGTGGGCCGCAGGTAGGGCGGCTGGTGGGCCGCAGGTAGGGCGGCAGAGAGCCGCAGGTAGGGCGGCGGTAGGGCCGCAGGTAGGAGGCGGCGGGGCCGCGAAGAGGAAGCGGCGAGGCCGCGTCGAGGAAGCGGCGGGGCCGCGACGAGGAGGCGGCGGGGCCGCGACGAGGAAACGGCGGGGCCGTGAGGAGGAGGCGGCGGGGCCGCGACGAGGAAGCGGCGGGGCCGCGTCGAGGAGGCGGCGGGGCCGCGACGAGGAAGCGGCGGGGCCGCGACTAGGAAACGGCGGGGCCGCGTCTAGAGGGCGGCGGGGCCGCAACTGAAGGGCGGCGGGGCCGAGAGAAGGGCGGCGGGGCCGCGAGGGGAAGGGCGACACGGAGGGTCGCTAAAAAAAGAACGCGCGCCTCGGGGCGCGCTTCGGTGGGCCCTAGAGAACAGTCCCTAGGATGGGACCTGCTCTGATTCCATGTGAGAATAGGAACGTGAATGTGTGAGTACAAGTACCAACCCTAATTGGGTTGTACCCCCTATGGGATACCCCACTATAGCCTACACAAAAGCATAAGCTATAAGTTCTGACAGACAGGGCTCTGGTTACCAGACCAAATCGGTCTGATGGTCTGAAAATCAGACCTGATTTCCTTTTTTCATCTGATCTTCCAGACCATAGTTTTTTTTTCATCTGAACCACAAGACGAATGATTTCATTTCGTCTGGAAAAAATGACAGTGTTATATTCCGTCAGAAATTTCAGAAAGCGCGTACAATTTAATATGATACCGAGAAAGTACCGTACTGGCCTGCCCCCTCCCCCTCCCACCCCCCCCTTCCCCTCAGTCCCCCCTGCCCTAAGTCCCGTCCCTCACGCGCTTCTCCTAACCCAACCTCATCACCAAGTCACCCCTCTACCAGCCCAGCCTCTCGCTGCGCAACCCCAGTCCATCCCCCCTTCCCACGCCTAGCTCCCCTACACCTTTCCCAGCCCAGCCCCCTTCCCCTCAAGTCCCTCCACCCCCCTGGTCCGTCGCGTAAGACACGGACCCACCCATGCATGTCCCTCGCAGCCCAACTTTCCCCCCCCCTCAGTCCCTCTAGGCGCCCAACTTGCTATGATTGTCTGCTAGCATGTTGTCAACGTCGCGCATTCATTTCGTACTTCGTAAAGACTGAATCATACCGTTTTCATGGCTGACTAGTGTAATACAGCAAACAGACCATGGAAAACATTTTGTCTTATAAATCAGACTAAGCTCCAACTTTCGTCTGAAAAATCAGACTTTTTTTTTTGCCCGTCTGAACGTCAGACAAAACGATTTTTTTTTTTTTGGGGGGGGGGGGGGGGGGGGGGACTTCAGACAGGCCTAAATCCTAGCAAGAGCCCTGGTTGGCGACTGCTCCGTGTTTCACGTCACCCAATGATAAATACATTTGGCGACAACCGCGGTCGGCCCGGCATTCTGACACCTGGCAGCATATGCTGTACGTACGCGTCACAATCGATTTGGACGCATCGATTGGGACATGGTCCACAGCGGAATGCACCCTTAGGGGGTGTTCCTGTGGAGACACTCGTGTCTCAACCCCCATTTTCCCGAGTCGCGCTTGTAAAATTTCCCAATGTCGCGTCACAAACATCAAGTGTACCACGACTTATGGCGACAGATTGGCCGGGACAGTTGGACACTTTTCACTGGATGCGATGAAAAGAAATGTACAGAGACATGCATTTGATTGGGTGACTGTACACCCGTTTTTTCAACCCCCGGGCGTGGTTTCAATACGCGGGACTTTTTTCCCTCGCGATATTGGCATTTTCGGGTGTCCAGGTGCATGTGGCCGTGTCGACATTCCGAGTCGCGTACGATTTTTTAACAATGACTGGTCTCATCGCAATTCGTCAGCGACGTCAGCGCATTCCGCGCTGACCAATAAAAAATACAGTGAAAGTCGTTGTGAGGCGACTCGCATTTGAGACACCATACAGTACATATTGTTTTGGGTGTCACAAAGTGATTGAGACACAAAGTGTCTCCACAAGAACACCCCCTTAGTGAACACTGAATAATGAAATTACCGTAGTTATACGGTATGAGGGCACCAGTACATGTCACTAGCTGTGGCATGTCATGTCCTCCCTAGCCTGCATCATCTCTTTTGCTGCCACTGTGACTGGATCGGGCATCAGCAGAGGAGTGAATCTCCAATCCCTCCCCACATGCACTAGGAACATCCTTCCCATCCTCCAATGTCTTCTTTGTTGTGAACTTGTTGCGCCCGGCGTCTTCCATACCTTGCTTGTGGTCGAGGCAAACGATGATGACTATAAGGGGTATGAACATGACCAGGAATATGTACACAAAGGTGGGCCGGATCGTGCCAGAAACCTGCAGGATGGAGGTGAAGGTGGGTGGGGGTTGGAGGGAGGGGGAGGGGGTCGTGGGAAAGGCGGGAAGCGAGTAAGCAAGAGTTAGGGTACAGTATTGAGATGGAGGCAAGTGGGATGAGATGAGATTGAGGTTGTGAATGGGCATTTTACTGCCATGTGGGTGGCCTCTCTGCACATCACATTGATGGATGGAACCCATGCGGATGTGTGTCCAGCTCAGCACATCAAGGAGCTCACTCGGCAAACACAATTGACCGCAATGCTTGGCAAGGAGCAGGTTAGCACACGACAAATGAAACGAGCATATCTCACCTGGGCGATGATGGCGACGACGAATGGGCCAAAGGATGAGCTGCCTTTGTCACTGATGGTGTAGATGGCAAAGAACGCCCCCTCCTTGCCAGTCGGCATCAGGTCCACGTACAGCGTACGTGAGTAGGACAGTAGTGGGCCCAGACACAGGCCGAACCACCCCACGTATGCGAATAACTCCCATGTGTGCTTCAACCCGAAGCTGTCTGTGAAGTAGCCGATAAGGCCCCACAGCGGCAGGGGTAGCATGCCGCCCAGAGCAATCATCGCCATTGTCTTGTTGCTCCACTTGGTTCGTCTTTGAATGAGGTAGAGAACCGGCATCCCGGCTGCCGCCCAGAACGAAACCGAGGTGGCGAGGATGGCGAGTGTTGCGGGCGGCACGCAGAGATCCTGCTGCCCAAATATAACCCCCACTTGGATGATAGTGGAAAACCCATCAGCGTACACAAAGTAGCATGCGATGAACACGAGCGCGTTCCGGTGGTGCCGGTACGCGTCTGCTAATGTGTCTCCCATGCCTTTCCAGCTCGCCCCGACAACGCTAAGAAAGAACCGCACCCGGCTATAGCTGGACCCCCAGCTGTAGCTGCAACCCCGGCAGGTCTCGCCCGAGCTGTAGCAGCCGGCACCGCTACAGCCGGACCAGCAGCCCCTGTCCGTGCCTTCCCGCGCCCCCTCTGCCTCGTGATTCCCCACAGAGGATGGAGCGGGGAGTGGGAGCGGGGGTCCCGGTCGGGCACGGAGGAAGTGAAAAGTGGGGAGCGCGAAGAGGATCCAGCAGAGCCCGCAAAACGCGGTGGCAACGCGCATCTGAACCGACTCGTCCGAGGAAACAAGCGTGAGCGCAAAGGCTATCAGCGTGATGGGAATATCACCCAGGCAGCCTGCCGCAAGCCCGATGAGGGAATACCGATTCTCCACGTCTTCCCGTGCGGCTGCGACTGCTTCTGGGTCGGCCTTGGCCTCGGCTGCGAGGACTTCGGGCGAGGCGTGCACGAGGAGGGGCAGGTAGCCGTTGTAGCTGACGGTGGCGAGGCCGTATCCGATGCTGGCGATGATGACGAGCACCCCGGCGAGCAGCCAGAGAGAGGGCGTGAGCATGAAGAGGAGTGCTGTGCATGCCGCTGCCCCCATCCATGTGCCCGCCTTGAGCATCTGTATGGGAACGGGGGAAGGTGGAGAGGGATTGGGGGGAGAGAGTAGGGGATCGATAAGATGAGAAGTATGACGAGGGGGCCGGGTCGAATCCAGAGCGACGAGGAGAGCAGGAGAAGGCGCGAGGAAGCGAGGGGAGAAGCGGGGAAGTGAGGGGGGAAGCGGGGAAGTGAGGGGAGAAGCGGGGAAGTAAGGGGAGAATTGAGGAGAGGAGTGCCGGGTGGAGCGGATGGAGGGGGGTGAGGGGAAGGGTGAGGAGGAGTGGCATAACATGTGCTGCTCGTTCTTAGCTCTAACGTTTTGAGAAACGCTGTGCACGCACCTGCTTCCTGCCGCGGCCATAGTCCGTGAACGGGCCGAGCGACACGAGTGCGACGATCTGGCAGCACACGGCGACGCCGATCACGATCGTCGCGTACGACACGGGGTTGATGCTAAGCGCGCCGAGCCGCACGCGCGGCTGCTCCAGCTCGCTGTACCCCCCCGCTGACGTCACCAGCTGGTTTCCCTTCCCCGGCACGCACTGCAGGCAGTCCGCGGTGATCAGATCGGTGCACTGCGGTGGCTTGGCGGCGCCCGAGTCGTTCCAGGCTTGCGCGTCGGCGAGGAGGAGCAGCAGCAGCGGGATGAAGATCGGCATAGCGACGGCGCTGAACGAGTTCGCGGCAACGTTGTACGAGTACCACCCCCATAGCTCCCGCTTCGTCAGGGGAACCCTCGAACCCTCCGCGTATTCCTCTCCTCCCGCGTATTCTCCGCTTCCCGCGTTTTCCGCGCCTCCCGCGCTTCCTGCGCTCTTTCCGCTTCCGCCAGGGTCGTCTAGGTCGAGAAACGCGCTAGCGGCTTTCTGTCGCATGTGCTCGTCCTTGGGCGTGTATTCCAGTCGCGACACTACAGCGGGGATGGGAACGACCTTTGCCATGTCCTTCCGCCGTTAGTGAGATTGATAGTCTAGGCTTCACCAATACGTTTTTTTTACTGTTCCAGAAACTCTAGTGAGATCGATGAAATATGCTTCAACGAGACAGACCCACGGAACTCGTGAGATCGGTAGTCCGTGCTTCAACGAGTCGGGACCCTCTCGGACGACGAGCTCCTGCGTCTAAGTACGAGCAAAAGTTTCTAACCGTTTTTTCAGGCGATAATTGCCGCGCCTAACAACCCATTAAATGTTTGTAGCAGAGCGAGCCAACCGGTCCAGCAGAGGTCCCGACGCCGCATATCGAGTTGATTGGCGGTCTTATCGTAACAAGTGTCCTGGTTACGCAGCGTATTGAGTGCCTTCAGTAGGGTCGGTACTAAAATGCGCTTTCTCGTGACTAGAGGTGCCTCGAGTCGAAGCATATGACTCGGGTCCTACCTGAGGGCGGCGGGAAGCGAAATCGCTAGCCACTAACCGACGGCGCTTCTCTGATTCAACGAGTAAGCATCCTCCTGAACTTTCTGCTGCACCATTTCCACTCGGATGACTGGAGGCAGAAAAGGGGTGTGAGAAGATGGATTATGAAATATGATGTCAGAGGGAGGCGAATTGTGACATACCGAATTTCACCAAATTGAGAGGTGCGTAAAATTTGAGATTTCGTGCGATTCGGAATGATCGCCATCACGACGCGACGCGACGGTTTTCTCCAGGTTTGAGACAAGGGAGCCCAACGGAATCTGGTCGGTCGGATCGGGACGGGATGTGATGGCACAGTAATGCCAATATTAAAAGCTGAACTGTGCCTTTGGGTGATTATGCTGATTCGACAAACCACAACAGGTGAATTAGCATGCTCATCTGTAAATATAGTAGAGAGTAAAAAAGCATACAAGCATGTAATAAATATTGTGATAAGTTGGCGAGGAGCCAACTAATGCTATGTGAACAGAAGCCAGGGTTTTAGGTCCCAAAATCGTGTATTGAAGATCACGGCTCTGCATGAACCACTTGAGTGCCGTGAGCATGACTGCCTTCGTGAAAACTCTCCTCTTGTAATCTCTCTTGATGCTTGGTTGCCCTTCCAGCCTCTGCCACCCCCTTGTTATAGTTGACGAATAATTGGACGGAGACAGCTGGGATGACCAGCACAATAAAAACGTATCCAAACACAGGCCGGAGCTGACCCCCCACCTGGCAAACGGGGAACAGTGGAAGGCCAGGGAAAAACACCAAGTTTACAGACCCGAAGCAAAAGCACTCTAAGTGAGGCCCGCCGTCCCTACTGTACCTTCAAGGCACTGATGCTGCTTGCACTGGCTGATTAACGTTGCACACTCTCACCAGCAGCATCACATGCATGCATCTCATCAGCTTAATGGCCGTCCCGTGCCCCTAAACCTCCCAGGCTAATCCATTACATCTCATCTCAACAATCCCCCCAGCACTGACCTGTGTGACGGCCGCAATGACAAAGGGGCCTATGCAGGAGCTGATGCGGTCGCAGATAAAGAAGAGCGTGAAGAATGCGCCCTCACGGCCCTCGGGGATGAAGTCAATGAACAGCGTGCGCGAGTATGACGTGAGAGCTCCCAGGAAGAACCCCAGCCACGCCGCACACAGGTAAATCTCCCACGCGGATTTCAGCCCGAACCCCCCGTCGGCGGTGAAATACCCGATGAATCCCCACACGGGCAGGGGAACTAGGCACGTGAGGAGAATCACGACCATGGTCTTGTTCGTCGCGTGGGTTTTCCGCTGGAAGAGCAGCGCGAGCGGCATGCCAGCAATCGCCACCACAGCAACGGTAAGCGCAATGATAGCCATGGATGATACGGACAGGCAGAGGTCGTTTTGCCCGAACAGCACTGCCATCTGCAGCATGGTGGTGAATCCGCTCCCGTACGCAACGAGGCAGATGAGGAAGATGAACGTGTAGCGGTACCGGGAGGCCTCCTTGAAGAGACCGAAGAGGTGGCGCCAGCGGTTGAGCATGGAGAATCCGGTCTTGGGCATGGGGGGACCGGGGCGCGGGTGCAGCCAAGCGAAGGTGAAGGCAGAGAGCGCGATCCACCACACGCCGCAGACTGCCACGGTGACTCGGAGCTTGAGCAGGTCGTCTGGGATGAGCAGCGTGGTGGCGAAGGTGAGCAGCATGGCGAGCACGCTCCCTAGCGTGCCCATTGCCAGGCCTGACAGGGACGCCTTGTTCTCCACCTGATGGGGTAAGGGAGGGGAGGAGAGGACGAGGTATATCAATGAGGCGCCTTAGGCATTAAGTAACTGGGGAAGGAGGTGACGGTGGGGAGGGCGATTCACCAGAGGCCACAGACAGCCACGGTGACTCATCTGCTGGGGTTGTATAGGCGTGATTCCGTTGGGGCTGTTGGGCGGGTGAGGTTGTGACATGGTTGGGTGTGACACAGGGACGGAAGGAAGCAGCTACCTCACCTTCCCCCTGCCTCCTCACCTTCCCCCTTGCCTCCTCACCCTTCCCCCTGCCTCATCACCTTCCCCCTGCCTCATCACCTTCCCCCTGCCTCCTCACCTTCCCCCTTGCCTCCTCACCCTTCCCGCTGCCTCATCACCTTCCCCCTGCCTCATCACCTTCCCCCTGCCTCATCACCTTCCCCCTGCCTCCTCACCTTCCTCCTGCCTCATCACCTTCCCCCTGCCTCATCACCTTCCCCCTGCCTCATCACCTTCCCCCTGCCTCATCACCTTCCCCCTGCCTCCTCACCTTCCCCCTGCCTCATCACCTTCCCCCTGCCTCATCACCTTCCCCCTGCCTCCTCACCTTCCCCCTGCCTCATCACCTTCCCCCTGCCTCATCACCTTCCCCCTGCCTCCTCACCTTCCCCCTTGCCTCCTCACCCTTCCCCCTGCCTCATCACCTTCCCCCTGCCTCCTCACCTTCCCCCTGCCTCATCACCTTCCCCCTGCCTCATCACCTTCCCCCTGCCTCATCACCTTCCCCCTGCCTCATCACCTTCTCCCTGCCTCATCACCTTCCCCCTGCCTCATCACCTTCCCCCTTCCTCATCACCTTCCCCCTTCCTCCTCACCCTTTCTCCCTGCCTCCTCACCTTCCCCCTGCCTCATCACCTTCCCCCTGCCTCATCACCTTCCCCCTGCCTCATCACCTTCCCCCTGCCTCCTCACCTTCCCCCTTGCCTCCTCACCCTTCCCCCTGCCTCATCACCTTCCCCCAGCCTCATCACCTTCCCCCTGCCTCATCACCTTCCCCCTGCCTCATCACCTTCCCCCTGCCTCATCACCTTCCCCCTGCCTCATCACCTTCCCCCTGCCTCATCACCTTCCCCCTGCCTCATCACCTTCCCCCTGCCTCATCACCTTCCCCCTTGCCTCCTCACCCTTCCCGCTGCCTCATCACCTTCCCCCTGCCTCATCACCTTCCCCCTGCCTCATCACCTTCCCCCTGCCTCATCACCTCAGCTTATCCCTCCCTGCCAGCTAGCTCACCTTCTCGCGGACAGCAAGGATGGAAGCCTCGTCTGGGCCCGCAGCGAGCACCTTAGGTGATGCATCCACCAGTACAGGCAGGTAACTGCCGTAGTGAGAGGGAGGAGGGCAAAATGGGGGTGACAGTGGGAGCAACGGGGAGAGAGGGTGGTGATTGATAGGGACAGCAAGAATGTAAGCCTCGTCTGGCCCCGCAGCGAGCACCTTTGGAGACGCGTCCACCAGCACTGGCAGGTAGCTGCGCAAGAAGAAAGAGAGGGTAGGGAGGGCGGGTGGCACGGGTGGTGAGAGGGAATACAAGCGAGGATGGATGCCTCGTCTGGCCCGGCAGGGAGCACCTTTGGTGATGCATCCACCAGCACAGGCAGGTAGCTGACAGGGGGGATACAGGGAAAAGAGGGAGGGAGGGGGAGGGGAATCGAATGTGAGCGAGGGGAAGCGCGGTGGTGACAGGGACGCAAGTATGGATGCCTCATCTGGGCCGGCAGGGAGCACCTTTGGAGACGCTTCCACCAGCACAGGCAGGTAGCTGCCACAGTGGGGGAGAAGGGGGTGGGGGGGAGGGAGGAAAAAGGATGGGGTAGGTAAGTGATTCACAAGGAATTGAGCTCTTGCGTGAGTAAAGGAAGTGGGGAGGGCGGAAAGGGGACAGATGAACAGCAGGGTTTGGATAGATTAAAGCACGTAAGATTGAAGCACGTAAGATTGAAGCACCTTAGATTGAAGCACCAAGTCCCCTTAGTAGTCTACCAGCGCCGGCAGGAAGGTGCCAGCAAAATCGGGGATGATGAGGGTGGGGATAGGGATCCTGTTGCCTCGAGCGGGTGAATAGGAATTGAACTCTTGCGTGAGTAAGGAGCCATATCCGAGACTAGCGATGATGGCAAACAGCACTGCCAGCCACCAGAGGGGTTCTTGAGACGTCGTAACAACATCACCGGCTGAAGCGCCTCACATCCCACCTGATATAGCCTCTCACCTGTTGTAGCCGACGAGAGAGATGCCGTATCCGAGATTAGCGATGATGGCAAACAGACCCGCCAGCCACCAGAGAGACGGCGATGTGAGCGCCAGGCATAGAATGCAGGGTACTGCCCCCATCAGCGTTCCCACCAGCAGCATCTGTGGTGGGGGGGGGGGGGGGGAGAGCAGGCAGGGAGAGGGAAGGAAATGCAGGGGAATGGTGAGGGGAGAGAAAGTAGAAAATGCATGGCACCGCTCACATCAGCAGTGTGTGGGAGGGGGATGGGGTGAAGGTGAGAGTTAGCGGAAAAGGGGGAGGGAGGGAGATCTGCAGGGCAAGAGGAACGAGGCAGAGAATGCACGGCACAGATCCCATCAACCCGTCCTCCCCGCTATCCTCCCCCGCTTCACGTCCTCCCAGCTTTACCTTCCCCATCCTTCCCCGTTATCATCGTACTCATCTGCCACCTCCCCCTGCCCGAAATCCGCCTCGGCGCCGAAGCACACGAGGCCGATGATGTGCACCCCCACGGCCAGCCGCCCTTTCCTCACCTCCCCCCCCCCCCCCTAATCCCACCCCTCATGCTCTCACCCGCCATCGGCCCTGCCCGAAATCCGCCTCGGCGCCGAAGCACACGAGGCCGATGATCTGCACCACCACGGCCAGTCCGATGATGACCGTTGTGTACGCCACCGGCTCCATCGACAGCGTGCCGGCTTGCAAGTTGGGCGAATCGTACGCCGTGTAGCTGCCGGGGAAGGGGTGTGGGACAATGGGGGGACAGCATGACAGTGTGTGGGTCAGCCCGATGACGACCGTGGTGCTCGCCAAGGGCTCCATGGATAACGCGCCCGCCTGCAGGTTCGGCGAGTCGTACGCCGTGTAGCTGACGGGGGGAAAGGGGGAGCGTGTCAAGGACGCCGGGCGCGGGGTGAATGAGGGGACCGTTGTACGCGTCACGGGTCGCATGGACAGCAGCAGACCAGCTTACAAGAAAGTGGGAGCGCGGGAGACGGGATGCAAAGAGGACCGCTTACGGGTCGGCGCGAGAGCTAAAAGGGCAGTCTTGGAAAGAACTAAATGCGGCGCGCGGAGCAAGATGCCTCGAACGACATGCGAGCTACAAGACCGCCATTTCAAAACGGGTCGATAAGATTAGACATGACATGACATGACAGCCCCGTGTCGCTACCGTTGCGCCAAGCACCCCCGCGGTGCGCCCTCTCGGAACTCCGCAATCGTAAGAATTTATGTCGCTAACTTCATATTCGAAGGTTGCTGATTTATTTACTACGCTAACACGCTTCGGGGGGATAGTAAGTTGCACGCGAAGCACGAGCGTACCTGGTTGACGTCATCAGCTGCTGCCCCTTGCCCGCCACGCATTGCAAGCAGCCTGTCGTGAGCGTCGCGTTGCACTGCGGCGGCGGCGGCGCGCCGGCCTGCGTGGCGGCCTGCGCGGTGGCGAGGTAGACGAGGAGCAACGGGAAGAAAATCGACATTGCGACGAGGGAGAACGCGTTTCCCGCCGCGTTGTAGATAAACCACCCCCACCACTCGCGACGCGTCACCGGGTCTTGCTCCTTCTCCGTCAAAATCGCCACGCTTGCCGCCAGGGCTTCCGGCGGAACATCCGCCGCGAAGTCATGGCCGTTCGGACCGCCTAGCGGTGCTTCCGCGGACGAATCTCGCGTCTGATCGGTCGTCATGATTGGTTCCGCTCGACGACTATACGCAGGCTACAGCGGAAGAGCGCCGACCGTTAGTATGCGCGTTTCGCGAGAGTCTTGAAGAACGAGCTGAGACATTAACACGGTAACAGCGAGGCGTCAACATGCTAGAGCGGGAGGAGTTTTGGGGTTGGAACGGTTGCCAAGGAGAGGAAATAAAAATATGCGGGAGTGACACTGGCGTGGCCCACGCACGATGGGGTGTTGACAGCTTGCTAGCTCCCCCCCTTGGAATTGCAAGAACACGGCTCGGTTGGGTGGGTGTAGGCCAGGTTGTTGAGCTCGGTAGTGATGGTTGAGAAAGGATCAGGTAGGGTGGGGTGGGGCAAAGGTGCACGAAGGTCGGTGGTTGGGTTGCAAGCTGGTGGGATGGAGTGGGGTTGGGAGGTAACGCAGATGCGACAGAAGGGCTGCCGTGCTGTGCCAGCTGTGCGATGGTGCAATACAATTGATGCCCAGCCAGTGCACGCAAATTTGCCTTGCGCCGGATGGAAACGCTGCACCCGAGGTTGTTTCCCCAGCCTGTTGCTCCCACGTTACAAGTGCGTCGCGTGGTTATCAACCAATAGTAACGAACAGTCCGAGGTCAAGCAGAAGAGACTGAAGTCAAATAAGGTAACAGATCTTGCTTATAAGTACCTGCGAATCCTTTTTAGCTAGCTGCGAATTGACGAAAATCATGCGACATTCTCGTTACAGTTTATACGCCTCTCTCACAAGGCAACCGGGAGGAGCTCAAACAGGCATCAATTGTACACCGCACGCAGCTTCGGCCAGCCCTTCAGAGTATGCTTGCAGGATGCAGTAGCGGGGCAGTTAAAAAAAGGAAGGAACCGAACTGCGCAACGATGGCCTTCGGCAGGGATTGGATTCGTCATGAATCGAGCTGCGAGCTGTCTTCCTCGAATGCGGTGGATCACATGATTCGACGTTCTCAAGAGCCTTTTTGAGCAGCCCAAATCTTTCCACCGAGCTGCAGAATTCAGTGGGCTGGACGGAACGAAACTCAGCACATCCAGCGAGTCACATTTCCATTCACTGTTCCGAGCTGGTGGGCTGCTGTAGTGGCCAATCGTCTGCGAGTCAAAATCAGCACTGTGGCGCAGATAGAACTGTGGATCTCAGATGCCCACCACCAAAGTGGCATTGACTCGTTCCCTGTAAGTCAGGCCTGGTGTTACGGGTGCAATGAATCGAGGTAGCGAGAATTGCACTAAGGTGTCAAACGAGTACAAAATGTGAGCGAAGGCATGAGCGAACATTTATACGCGAAACATGCAAAACGGTAACGCGGTGCGTGCGAGCTTGCTAGTGCTACGCTGGAGCGAGGCTCGGGCTAGTCCCGAAGCGTAGGCCGATACGGCCATGCCAGCAGTGCGAGGTTTGGTAAAACAGTGCGCGCGAAGTCGGCGAAGTTCCGTTAGCAGTAACGGGCGAACAATCGGCTGTTGCTGTACGCGATGTAGTCGGCTCCGTAAGGAATGCCGAGAAAATTCCTTACACTACCCCCCCCCTCAAGAAGCCCCCTCCGCTACGCGAGTGCGTGTATATCGCGGAATCCCCGGCTCCTCAGGTACACTTGCAGGGCAGGGTGATTTTCGATGTTGCTCAGGGGCACCCAGCTATCTTCAGTTGGCGTGCGGTCTTTCCAGCGAACGAGGAATTCAATCCTCCTGATTCCCGTGGGGTGGCGGATCCGATGGCTCAGAATTTTTTCGGGCTCGATGATCGGCTCTGATGCAGGGCGAGTCATTGATTGTGGCCGGTGACGCGGCAGTTGACTTGTGGTCGGGATGTATGGGCGAAGTAGGCTGACGTGGAACGAAGGGCTGATGTACCAGTCGGTTGGCAACAGTAGGTGTGCGGTGATGTCAAACATTATACATGTTATGCTTGTGTAGGCTACAGTGGGTTAGCCTATAGGGGGTACACAATTCTAGGGTTTCCTACTTGTACTCATTTCACTGCTAGTTTCATTCATTCCTGTTCGCTTATTCTCACATGGTATAGAGCGAGTCCTTCTACGGACCGTTTTTTTTTTTGGCCCACCGAAGCGCCCCCCGAGGCGCGATCTTTTTTTTTAGCGACCCCTCGGGTCGCCATTTCCCCTGCGGCCCCGCCGCCTTCACTGACGCGGCCCCGCCGCCCTCTCTGTCGCGGCCCCGCCGCCTGCTCTCACGCGGCCCCGCCCCGGCTCCTTCGCGGCCCCGCCGCCTGCTCTTGCGCGGCCCCGCCCCGGCTTCTACACGGCCCCGCCCCGGCTTTCACGCGGCCCCGCCGACGGCTCTGTCGCGGCCCCGCCCAGGCCCTTACGCGGCTCCGCCGCCTGCTCTCACGCGGCCCCGCCCCGGCTCCTTCGCGGCCCCGCCGCCTGCTCTTACGCGGCCCCGCCCCCGCTTCTACGCGGCCCCGCCCCGGCTTTCACGCGGCCCCGCCGACGGCTCTGTCGCGGCCCCGCCCAGGCCCTTACGCGGCCCCGCCGCCTGCCCCCGTCGCGGCCCGGTCACCTCCTGACGGCCCCGCCGTCCCTTCGTGACGGCCCCACCGTCCCTTCCTGACGGCCCCGCCGTCCCCTCCTGACGGCTCCTGCCGTCCCCTTCTACCGGCCCCGCAACTGCACCTGCTGGCCCCGCCGCTGCACCTACCGGCCCCCCACCACCCACCCCCCCTTTTCCCGTCGCCCGTCGCGGCTCCTTCGGGGGCCGCAAGCGGCCCCCTCAGGTCGCCTCGACAGGCGACGGGAGAGGCCAGCAGAGGGGTGGCAGGTGTGTGGCCTCCCCTGCTTCTCCTCCTCCTTCATCTCCCACTGCAGCAGCCGAGCCGCCCCACAGCCGAGCCGCCCTGCCGCCGAGCCGCCGGGTCGCTGAGCTGCTGAGCTGCAGTTGCTGCCGAGCCGCCCTGCCGCCGAGCCGCCGAGTCACCGAGCTACTGAGCTGCAGTTGCTGCTGAGCCGCCTTGCCGCCGAGCCGCCCGAGTCGCCCGAGCCGCCGAGCCGCCGAGCTGCCGAGCCGCTGAGTCGCCGAACCTACTCTTCCCACCACTGGTGAGCTCTTGCCCTGCTAGCACGCTGCGCGTCGCCTGCTTGCCTGCCTGCCTGCCTTTTGGCTTGCCTGGCTGCCTGCCTCCCTGCTGCTAGTCCTGCTCCTGCTTCTACTTGCGGAGCCAAATGCAGCCCCAGCGACGCCGGCGTGAGTCCCTCACGCCGCAGCAGCTGCGTGAGTGGTACGCTGGTTGGGGCTGTAGGGGTGGCGACGCTACTCCTACTACCACTCCTGCTGCTTCTACTCGTGGTGGCGGCCAGATGCAGCTCCCGCGACCCTCTCGCGTGTCTCTCACGCCTCGCCAGCTTCGTGAGTGGTACGCTCAGAGTGGAGGGTCTCTTAGTGCTGTTCGCTGCTCTTACGTGATTCGCACTGGTACTCGGACTGGTCAGCCTTGTGGGACACGTAGTCATACACCGTCCCGCTGCTTCGCCCGTCTGAGCGACGCCTGGCGTACCGTGTTTGGCGACGAGGCTGAGCAGAGGGGTGGCAGGTGTGTGGCCTCCCCTGCTTCTCCTCCTCCTTCATCTCCCACTGCAGCAGCCGAGCCGCCCCACAGCCGAGCCGCCCTGCCGCCGAGCCGCCGGGTCGCTGAGCTGCTGAGCTGCAGTTGCTGCCGAGCCGCCCTGCCGCCGAGCCGCCGAGTCACCGAGCTACTGAGCTGCAGTTGCTGCTGAGCCGCCTTGCCGCCGAGCCGCCCGAGTCGCCCGAGCCGCCGAGCCGCCGAGCTGCCGAGCCGCTGAGTCGCCGAACCTACTCTTCCCACCACTGGTGAGCTCTTGCCCTGCTAGCACGCTGCGCGTCGCCTGCTTGCCTGCCTGCCTGCCTTTTGGCTTGCCTGGCTGCCTGCCTCCCTGCTGCTAGTCCTGCTCCTGCTTCTACTTGCGGAGCCAAATGCAGCCCCAGCGACGCCGGCGTGAGTCCCTCACGCCGCAGCAGCTGCGTGAGTGGTACGCTGGTTGGGGCTGTAGGGGTGGCGACGCTACTCCTACTACCACTCCTGCTGCTTCTACTCGTGGTGGCGGCCAGATGCAGCTCCCGCGACCCTCTCGCGTGTCTCTCACGCCTCGCCAGCTTCGTGAGTGGTACGCTCAGAGTGGAGGGTCTCTTAGTGCTGTTCGCTGCTCTTACGTGATTCGCACTGGTACTCGGACTGGTCAGCCTTGTGGGACACGTAGTCATACACCGTCCCGCTGCTTCGCCCGTCTGAGCGACGCCTGGCGTACCGTGTTTGGCGACGAGGCTGAGCTTCCCGACTGGGTGGAGTTGCTTAGGCAGAGGGTAGATATATATGCTCTTGACTATGATGCTATTCTCACTGCCATGTATGCATTGCCTACTAGTGCTGACCGTGCAGGTCACCTGTGCGTCCCGCCTGACCCAGGTATAGGACCTGCTGCTCTAGCTACTGGTGAGGCTGCTGCTCTAGGTGCTAGTGAGTCTCCTGCTCCGGGTACAGGTGCGGCTGCTGCTCTAGGTGCTAGTGAGTCTGCTTCCTCAGGTGCGGGTGAGGCTGCGCTCTCAGGTACCGCGTTGGCTTCGGCCTCCCTCACCTTTACACTTGACTCTGGGGCTTCTCGCTCCTTCTTTCGGGACCGCACCACACTCACGCCGCTTGGTCGGCCGGTTGCAGTCTCCCTGGCTGACCCCTCTGGGGGTCCTGTCCTCGCTCACTTCTCCACTGTCCTCCCGTGTCCGGCTGCCCCCTCGGGCACCCTGTCTGGCCTGTACCTCCCCTCGTTCTCGACGAACTTGGTGAGTGGTGCAGACCTACAGGATGCGGGGGTTCACCAGTTCACTCCTGCGAGTCAGCGGGTGACCCACTGCACGGACGCACGCACAGGCCGGCACCTGGCCACGTTCTCGCGTCGGCCGGGGTCGAGCCTCTACACCCTGACCACTGAGTCTCCTCCTGTCCCCGCGTCCGGTCAGGTAGCA